GGCCTCTCTAGCCCCCACCTCCCATCCTTCCTCCCCTCCAGCCCCTCTGCACTCCAGCCCCCCACTGTTTCCGCCACTCCACACCGCAGCATCCTGCAGGAAGCCCGTTCCTGTTCCCAGGGGGCCTGCTTGAGGCATGTGAGGTGACACCGCGGGGCAGGGAGGGACTGGCCTGTGGCTGCTGCCCCCAGCCCAGAAGGCAGCTGCTGGGGGTGCGGGTGGCTGCTCACAGCTACCTGCTGGCTGCACGTTCCCCAGAAGCAAGGGGACCCCACCCCACCGCACCAGGCAGGGGCTGGGCACAGACCCCTTCCTGGCCCATCCCAGCCCCTGGGACCCAACCGCAGTTCCTGCCCCGGCGGCACCAAAGTTCTCCTCTGGCCTGTTCCCGTCCATCACGCCAGGGGATGGGGGGCCCCACTGAAGTGGGGAAGCAGGCAGGGGAGAGGCTGCCCTGGGCAGCAGCTCACTGTGTCTGTTACCTCATGCAACTCCTGCAGTAACTCCGGGAGTTTGGAATTATAGCCTGTGTGTCCCGGATGAGGGAGAGGTTGTGCGGGCCGGGGTTCCTGAGCGCGGAGCTGCTTGGTGAGATTTGCTTCCGCTGGGAAGGGGGCTGCTGGGGCGCCGATTCCTGTGAGCGGCTGCAGGCAGGGGGGAAGGGGGCTGAGTAGGAGTGCTTCCTCACTCTTTCCTGTTTGTCCACTGCTGTTCATTATTCCGCTTCCTTCCACAGGATGCCAGAGCCGTGGATGGGCCCCCCGACCCCACAGCAATGTCGGGCCAGGACTGCGCCGTCCACGGGGCCGGCGCCTGCGCACGTGCCTGGGGGCGCAGGGGGCTCCCAGTGGGCGTGCCGGACCCCTTGTATTTACCGGAATGCAGGTGGCGTACAGTCAGGAATCTTCTTCACTGCTCTGTTCTCAATGGCCTCAAACAGTGCCTGGCACACAGTAGGTGCCCATTTAAGCATGCATGGAATGAATGAATGAATGAATGAATGAATGAATGAATGACAGAACGAAGGGATGGATAATAAATGAACAATGAACAAAGGAAGCTTAGCACAAAAACCCCAGACAGCAGCCAGATAACTCACCCCGAGGCAGCGCGGCAAGTCGGTCCCGTCCCTCTGCAGGGGAAGGACGGTGGCACTTACAGCCTGGCAGGCGCCCTGGTGGCTGGACGCTCAGGGTCATTCGTGACGTTAGCCTCCTTCTCTGGGAAAGCCGTTCACCTGTAAGACCCCAGGGAGGGGGCCGGAGAAGGCTCTGCTAGGAAACAGGCAGGTTTGGGGTCTGTGCGTGGAACATTCTAGGTTGGCAGACATTTGGCCTTTCCTGCCTGCCCTACACGGGCCGCACAGCTGAGTCTGAGGAGGAGATGGGGATGGGCGGAGCCTCAGGGGTGGCAGGGTCCGCGTGCAAGTGTGTATGTGTGTGTGCACGCGTGTGTGTGTGCGTGTGTGTCTGCACGCACAGGCTGGGCTAATGTTCAGCAGTCGAGCCTATAAAACTGGCATTCTCTCCCGGTTGACAACAGCCCCCTGGGGCCAGCCCCTCGGGCCCCTGCACCGCCTGCCGTCCGCACAGAAGGGCCTTCTTCCAGGCCACGTCCGGTGTCCACACCCACTGTCAGTGTCTGTGCTGGACGGCACCCTCCCTGGACGCCTCCTGCATGCGGCAGCCGGCCCCCAGAGGACCCGGGGAGCAGGCTGGTGCCCACCTACACTTGCTGCCTCATCCCAGGGGACTGAGACGGGGCCCCGCCCAGGGGTGGCTGGTGTCATTCTGTCCTCTGGCTCCATGGCCACATCTGGGCTCTCGGCCAGCATGTCCCTCTGCCTGGCACTTAGTGGCAGAGGTGACAGCCTGGGGGTGCCCGTCAGCTGGCCCAGCAGCCCAAGGAGGGAGGCAAGGAGGGCGGAAGCCCCAGGTGGGCTTGGGATGGCTGGCTGGCTCTGGGGACAGCTCAGGAGTGAGCGAGGCCGGACTGTGCTCCCTCCCTCTGGGACCTCCTGAGCCTGCGGGGGGTTGGGGGGGCGCTGATAAGGAGGGCAGTGGAACCTGGGTCCTCCGGTGTGTGTGTGTGTGTGTGTGTGTGTGTGAGAGACAGAGAGAGAGAGAGAGAGAGAGAGAGAGAGGGGGGCCCCGTGGGCTTGGTGCCCACAATGCCAAGAGCTCATGGGAGTTAGGCCCAGGCTCTGACGACACAAGCTGGCCTGGGGGACCGTCCCAGGAAGCCTGGGGGGCAGTGGAGGCAGGGGGTGTCTGAGAGTCCTGGCTCTGGCACTTTCCAGCGGCGAGGCCTGGGGACAAGCCTCCAGAGGAAGCGGCTGGGCGTTCAGCCCACCCTCGTAGTAACTTCTGACGCTCTCCCAGCCTTCTTTTGAGTATTCCACAAACAATTTCGAGCTCACCCCTGCTTTATGACGGAGGTACAGCTAGACCCAAACCCAGGTCCCTAGGCTCCTGGTGGCAAGGAGTTTCTGAGGAGCTCCCTGTACCCTCCCCGAGGGGGACGATGTGAGGTCTCCCGTTAGGACGACAGGGCCCTTGAGAATAGGCCAGGTAGAATCTTCCATCTTCCCCTTCCCTCTGCCCGCCCAGGAGAGAGGCGGCCAAGGCCACAGAGGCACCCCAAGCTGACACCCCTCATCAGGTTCCACTTAGGGTGGGGGCCAGCAGCTGGCCTGGGACAGCGGTCACCTAAGGCCTCCCTTGCGTGTGCCCCGCCCACCCTCTCAAAGCTCCCAGCCTCAGCCCCAGCCCCCCGGGAGCGGGGTCACCCACATCTCACGTGGCGGTCTGTTCTCGGCCAGCTGACGTCCACTGCCGCTCTCTGGGTGGGGGTCTGGCTTTCTGGGCCGTCCCAGCTCCCCCTCCTCCCCACCGCCCCGGCCTACAGGGAGTGGGGAGCGGAGACACAAATGGGGGAAGAAAGGGGCCCCCAGTTTCTCTGCGTTCTTCTGCTTGCTGGCCCCACCTGGGTATTGTCTCTTGAGTTCAGGGGCCTGATGGAACCCCAAGTGATCACATGGGCAGCGACCCTGCTCTGGAGCACGCAAGCCCCCTCATGCCCTCTTCTCCCCAGTCTCGTGCCCGGAGCTCCCCACAACGGGCATCACTGAAGGGCAGAAAGTCGCACCATCTGGGGCCCCCTGGGGCCCCGTGCTCCCACCTCCTGCAGACCCTCCCCCTCTTCAGGATCCCCTTGACCCTTTACAGTCTCGGGCTGGGAAAGAGACCAGAAAGACATCTGCTCAGTCGGGAGCACTGTGAGGTGAGCAGAGCCAAGGCATATAGCCGCCCGCTCCGGTTCGGGCGCCCAGGGAGCCAGGCACCTTGCTGAGGCCTCTGTGTCCTTCCTGTCGCCTAAGCCTCACATGACACTGTCAACATCCCAGCATTCAGATGAGGAGGGGGAGGTTCCAAGGGGCGAAGGGGTTTGCAGGCTGTGCAGCCAGATGGCCGGGGTGCGGCTCCGGCAGCCCTTGGCAACAGCAGATATGAAGTCACTTGCTCACTTGTTCATCCCTCAATCTGCTTGCTGGGGGTAAGGACGGACGTGTACCTCTAGGATTATAGTGAGCAAGTCTATTAACACATGTCAGGGGGCTAGGGCAGAGCACATGCTATTTAAGCACCAATTGCTATGCGAAATTGTCCCCCAGTCACTTTGCGCGCATTCACAGGGTCTTCCTGGGTCCTCCTTGGCAGACACACGGCTGTCCTTGCTGCCAATAACCAGCATAAGGTCCGGCCCCGTAGGCTCATTTATGCTTTCTGCTCCAGTCACGAAAGGATAGCAAAGTCTGTGTGTTAGAGGATGGCCTTGAATTCTAGATTCCAGCCAGCCACGTTACTCCTAGTAGCTAGGCTAAGGGAACCTTGGGAAATGAGAGCCATATAAATGACAAAGTTTCCCTTTTTGCTTTGGCCACCAGGAAGCTCGGAGGCAAATTAGATATGGTTCAGTTAAACCACCAGAGCTCAAAAATGGCACCTGCTTTCATTCTGCCTGCCAGCGAGATTTATGGGTCATATGGAATAGAGAAGGATTCTGAGGCTGCACTGAGTAACACCGGCTTTGAGCATGGCCTTGGCTTCTGGGCTAAGGAAGTGAGAATGGCGATCAACTCGTGATGTCTGCCCCGAGGACAGCCACGGAGAACAGGCGATGGGCACGGCATGAATGTGCCATCACCAGGTGGGGCAACTTAGCCGCACTTATTTCCCCCATGCCTCTATTTCCTCGTAATTCTGCGTTTTCCCGGCTATGTTTTATATTTTATTACGTGTACTCCCCTGTGGAATGAGGCAGGTCATGAGTAAAACAAGCTGGAACGGCGTCACTCAGAGCCCTCCTCCCTCCATGCAGGGCAGGGGCTCCAGGGAGAGCCTCTGACTGCAGCGGAGAGCCCTCCCCACCCCCCCCCGCGGAGCCGAAGGGTTCTGCAGCCCCCAGGACTGTCCCCATGCCTCCCCCAGGCTTGCCTATCAGCCACAGAAAGTCTTTTGCAAGAAATTAATGAGGCTCAGGGCAACACTGAGACTGTCCCTGAAGTGTGCCCTCCTACCTCCCGGCTGAAGACAAGCCTGTCTGGCCTGCCCCCACCCCTCTCTCTTTGGGGAGCACCTGTAGCTCCGTCTCATCAGGACCTGGGGATCTAAAGCAATGTGATTCAGGAATCCCCTTGGAGGGCTGCTAAAAATGCGGATTCTTTGCCTCCAACCCAGATCTGCTGCATCAGAATCCCCGGGCCCTGGAATCTGCATTTTCACCGGTGCTGCCACTGGAATGAAAGACTCACACCAGCCTGTGGCTGGTGAGGTGCCTGAAGCAGCCGTAGAACAGCTATGGGCTCCGCCAGGCTCCTTGGCTGGGACAGCAGCGCCACCTGGTGGGCCCTGCGGGAACACCTCCCAGCCCTTGCCCTGCCGGCCGCTGCCCTCCGGGCCCCACTGCAGGGCAGCGGGACCTCCATGCAGCACACGGGATTGTTACAAATCCTCTTTAATAGTTAGTTGTCAAATCTCGAACACGTTTTACAGAGCTATGCACAGGGCCCCTCCCCACTCCCTTACAAGGCACAGCCTCACCCTCCCATTCCCGGGGAGGGGGTGCCGAGGACAGGCCAGCCCGGCGTCTCCTCCCTCCCTCCTTCCCTGGACAGTCGGGGGTCCCCGCGAATGCAGGGGCAGCTCTGTGTCATGCCAGGCCTTTCGCCCCTGTGGTTCCCTCAGCAGCCCGGGCGCATCCACACTCCCGTGGCTACGGCCTGGGTGGGGGTGGGGGTGGGGCCGGCCTGGGGAAGGGCAGCTGCCCCCAGTGTCAGGGAAAGCCCCCCCTCTCCCCCTACCTTCAGCGAAAACGTGAAAACCAAGGACAGAAGCATTGTCGTGGAAAGAAAAAGTTTACCCACGCAGTGGGCATCCCCTGGCAGCCCAGGTGCCTTATCCACCCCCCACCCCCGACCCTCAATTTTTAATACACGGCCCCGGCCGACAGACACAGCGCCCAAGGCAGGTAGAGACCCGGTGGCCTGCGCAGGGATGCGGCGGGGCGTTTTCTCTGCATCGCTAAGAGAACCCTGGCGGTCAGCCGAGGAGCCGCAGGACACCCGGGCTCCAGTCTGGAGGCAGAAAGGTAGGCAGAGGGGTCCCGGAGGGCGCCCCGCGTCCAGCCAGCACGGGACGTGCCGGGGGAGCGAGGGGGCAGGTGAGCCCGGAGGAGAGGCGGGAGGCCCGGCGGCCGCCTCAGTACTTGGGCACCTTGCTGTAGTCTTCGGAGTGGATGTGCCGGCACAAGCAGATGGACAGGAGCATCCCGAGGAGCTGGGGCGGGGGGGGGCGGAGGGCAAGGGTGAGGGGGGCAGGGCTCGCTGTCCAGGTGGGCCAGGGGCGCAGGCTGAGAGTGGGACCGAGCAGGCCCACAACGGGAGCCTCGTGACATGGCTCGTGACCCGCCCGTGATGCAGAGGAGGCGGAGGGGCCCAGGGAGGGGCAGGGAGGAGGCCAGGCCTGGGGCCCTCGGATGGGGGGCGGGGGAGGGGATTCATACCTCAATGACGGCCACGCCCACACACACGCCCAGGATGATGCCCATGTTCTCCTGCAGCCACACCTGCACCTTCTCCATGCAGCCCTGCGCAGGGAGAACACTGCCCTGTCACCCAGGCCCGGCTGCCTCACCCCTCCGTGCCCGGTCAGGGCCCACCCCCAGCCCAGAGGGCCTGCAGAGAGGGGCCTGCGTATTCCTTGAACAGATAAGTGAACGAATATGGAGATGCAGGTACAAATGACAAGCAAACAGATGAGTCAAAGGCAGGAGCAGCTAAGTGAAGGGGGGAAGAGGGAGGGAGGAGAAAGGGAGGGAAGAAGGGAGGGAGGGAGAAATGGAAGGGAAGGGAAGGGAAAGAAAGGGAAGGGAAGGGAGGAGCGTTAAGAGGAAAGGAGAAGGAAGGAGGAAGGGAAGGAGGGGGGAGGGAGGAAGGGAAGGAGGGAGGAGGGAGGGAAGGAGGGAGGGGGGAGGGAAGGAGGGAGGGAGGAAGCAGGGAGGGAGGGAGGAGGGAGAGAAGGAAGGAGGGAGGAGGGGGGAAGGGGAGGAGGGAGGAAGGGAAGGAGGGAAGGAAGGAAAGGAGGGAGGGAGGAAGCAGGGAGGGAGGGAGGAGGGAGAGAAGGAAGGAGGGAGGAGGGAGGAAGGGGAGGAGGGAGGAAGGGAAGTAGGGAAGGAAGGAAAGGAGGGAGGGAGGAAGCAGGGAGGGAGGGAGGAGGGCATAGCCCAGGCAATGAGTGGCCCAGCGCGTCCACACACCTCGCGGTACACGGGCCAGAGCTCGGGGTTGTTCCCGCCGTCGGTGGAGTTGCCACCGGGGGCCTCGCAGAAGCCCTTCTTCACCAGGTCGCCGCGGTCCTCCTCGTCCTCGCAGGAGCAGGGGTAGGTGACGCGGGTGCGGTTCATGAGCTCCGCGTTGTCCGTCCAGTTGTAGAAGCTGGCCCAGCCGCAGCACCTCACCTGCGGGGACACGAGCCGCCTGCGCCCCCGGCCCTCAGGGGGCGGGGTGTCCCAGCACGGACACGCGGAGGCCAGCCCCCCACCCCCACCCCCCGGTCCGGCCCAAACCGCCAGGATCCGAGGGTAGGTTTCACTCTGGCTCCTGTGAGCCGCGGGGAGTGTAAAGGGGCTCTCAGGAAACAGACCAGAAACATGGGAAACAAGCTGGGAGCAGTAAAAATATAAAGCAGTACAGGAGGGTGTTCAGGTTGAAAGAACACAGACGTACGGGGCACGAGAAGGGCAAACGGCACGTAGTGGAAGGGTGTGCGGTCTAGAGTCGGGCTACTGGGCTCAAATCCCAGCTTTGCCACTGACCAACGGCCCAACTTCCTCCTCACCCACCAGTGGGGTAACAAAGGTCCCTAACCAGCGGGGCTGTGAGGAGCACTACATGGGACAAGGCAGGCGCAGCGTCCGGCACCGATCCGGAGAGCACAGTAACTGCTCGGGGCAGGCCAGCGCCACTTTTAGGTGCGGGGTACATGTTGGAGGTGAGATTTGGCTGAGCTTCCTGGTGGCCAAGGTGAAAAGGGAGATATGGTCCATTCTGCCTTTTAGAAGAGAAAATGTTCGGGTTCCAGAGGGGAAGAAAGCCTTTCTGTGCTCCCCGTGCTAGAAGGAGCCTCCGTGGGGCCCGAGAAGGCGATCCTGCGAGGCCTCAGACCACACTGGGGCTTGAACTCCTGGCCGGATTGGGATCTGAGGGGCCAAGCCTGTGCTTGGGCAAACCGCCACTCTTCTCTCAGCTCTGGCTTCCTCATGTGGAGAATGGGGTGACAAGAGCCACTCTGCCAGGGTCCCCGGGGGGGTTAAGTGGACTTGCACAGACAAGCTTCGTGCCACCCTGCCTGGTCCCTGCTTCGCTCCCACCTCCGGCTGGCGGTGCCTGACGAGCAGCCGGGTGGCCAGCAGGGGGCGAGCTGAGCACGCTCAGGCGTCCGGGCTCCAGCAGCTGCCCCTCCAGGCTTCACTATCCCCTTCACGTCCTGTAAAGCTACTTGACTGCCTCCTCTGAGGGGCACCCCAGGCCCTCACACACTCAAAGGTAGACAGCTCTCCTTGGCCCTTCTACCACACCAGGCAGAGCCCCCCACCCACCCTGACGGGTGCCAGGATCTGTCCCCAGCCACTGCCCTCCTGTGTCTCGGCTTGTGCACGCATGACCAATAAGACCTCACCACCAACGTGCCACACAGTAAGTGCTGCATAAGTGCTGTGGGCAAACAGCCCCATTTTATAGATGAGGAAACTGAGGCTCAGGAAGGGTCAGAGTTGGTATTCCAGCCCCCCGGGAACCTGACCCAGTCTGTTTTCTTAGCCCCAAATCCAAGCAGCGTCTGACAGAATGATCTAGAGGCCCTGTCGGCCTCAGGAACCCCCCAAATGGTCAACTACCTCCCAGGACAGGGTGCGCACTCTCTCGAGGAGCCCGCCTCTCCCCCAGGCTCCTTGAAGGTGGCACGGCTCGTCTTGGACACCAGCCTGCCCCCACACTCAGCAATGGTGGGTCAATCTGAGCGTGTGGTGAAAACCACATCCTGCGCGCCCAGCCCTCCAGCTGACACAGGCCCCGGGCCTGGCACCGGCTGGTCACCCACAAAGTCGGTGAGGCCCGGGGGCCAGCAAACATCACCGCCCCCTTGCCACAGCCCAGAAAACGCGCCCATGCTGTCTGCAGAGTCCCACCTCCCCTCCTGGTGCCAGAGTCAGGGCTCCTCTACTGCCCCCCCCCCCGCTGCCCCCGCCCAGGCGGCAGTCGGTCAGTGTCCGTGGGTCAAGAGCCACCACTGTGGTCAGCACCTCGCGGGAGGCAGGAGGAGGCTGCAGCCCAGACGCTGGCCCCAGCCGAGGGCTCCCAGCATCCGGGACCTGATCACTGAGGTCCGTCTGTGGGTGTGGTGAATGGGTCACCATCAGGGCAGGGTGGGAGCCCAGTGCACAAGTCCCTCGTTCCGTCATCCGTCCATCCATCCATCCACCCACGCATGCATTCTGTCTGCCAGTCAGTCTATCATTCATTCACTCATTCACTCATTCATTCATTCATTCATCCACCCATCCATCCATCCACCTACCCATGCAGTCATTCTGTCTGCCAGTCAGTCTATCATTCATTCATCCACCCACCCATCCATCCACCCACTCACCCACCCACCAGTCATTCTGTCTGCCAGTCAGTCTATCATTCATTCATTCATCAATCCATCCACCCACTCATCCATCCATCCACCCACCCACCCATCATTCATTCTGTCAGCCAGTCTATCATTCATTCACTCATCCACTCATTCATTCATTCATTCATCCACCCATCCATCCATCCACCTACCCATGCAGTCATTCTGTCTGCCAGTCAGTCTATCATTCATTCATTCATCTACCTGTCCATCCACCCACTCACTCACCCACCAGTCATTCTGTCTGCCAGTCCGTCTATCATTCATTCATTCATCAATCCATCCACCCACTCATCCATCCATCCACCCACCCACCCATCATTCATTCTGTCAGCCAGTCTATCATTCATTCACTCATCCACTCATTCATTCATTCACTCATTCATTCATTCATTCATCCACCCATCCATCCATCCACCTACCCATGCAGTCATTCTGTCTGCCAGTCAGTCTATCATTCATTCATTCATCTACCTGTCCATCCACCCACTCACTCACCCACCAGTCATTCTGTCTGCCAGTCCGTCTATCATTCATTCATTCATCAATCCATCCACCCATTCATCCACCCATCCACCCACCAGTCATTCTGTCTGCCAGTCAGTCTATCATTCAGTCGGTCGGTTGGTCTCTTTCACTATAACTGGGGTGGAGTGCCCACACTCCAAGTGCACTAACAGCTTGATGCTTACACCCACACTGGCTAACTGCCACCTAGATCAGGACTTGGATAAAACCTTTCTTTTGCCCCAGAAGGTTCCCGCGGGCTCCTCTGCTGTCAGCACCCTCCCAGAGGGGGCCTCCACTCAGACCCGCGTGAGCACACAGCCCCCTCACGCCCGGGACGGACCCCCAGCGCTCCCCAGCCTGCCGTGACCGCAGACCAGAACGTGGCGAGCCCCGGCCACCTCCGAGACCCTGGGCCCCTGAGCAAGGGACTGCAGTGCAGGGGTGCGGGGAGGGGAGTACTCAGGGGCCCCCGTGCCCTCCACAGAGACACACACACACGCAGAGTCATGGGCACGCTGCGTCAGGGACACGGACACGTGGACCCCGGCTCGCACAGGCTGGGACCCTGGCGCCCCGGCCCTGTGGCCCCCGCCCGCCTCACCCGCACCCGCCTCACCTGCGCCTGCACGTAGTCCCAGGCGTCCTGCAGCCTGTCCTCCTGGCCATCTTTGTAGTCCTCAATGAGCTTGGTCACGATGTTGCCCATTTCCTCCTTTAGCTGCAGAGCGGAGAGCGAGACCAAGGTCACATTTCCTGAAACCCACGTGCCACCTTTGGTCACGTCTACTCAGACGGGCTCTCTCCTCACCCTCCCCAACTCTAGGCACGCGCTCTCGTCACTGTGCCTTCCAACCACTTTCCTGGTACGTCCAGGACGCCAGCATCCTCTCAATGGCCCACACGGCCCTCCATCGTTTGGCCCCTGCTCTTCCCAAACCTCATTTTCTCTGTTCTTGTTCTGATTCAATCACACGGGTCTCCTTGCTGTGTTCCTGCTAGGCACACTCCTGCCTCAGGCCCTTTGCACTTACTATTCCCACCACCTGCGTTTTTCCCCTTCTCCCAAATAGTAACGCGACTCACTCCTCCACCTCCTTCAGGGCTCTGCTTAAATGCCACTTCCTTGGAAAGGTCTTCCTAGACCATCCTATAGAACACATCCCTTCTCTATCCCCTCTCCCCACCCCCTCCCAGGACCCCTCGCCCTGCAAGGGTAGGCATATGCTGTGTTTTCCTTCATAGTGTCGTCATTCGGTGCTCATTTGTTTTCAGGACTTATTATCTCTGCCGTCGACCAGGATGTCAGCTCACAGGGAGCAAAGGCTGTATCTGCTGAAGCCTGGCCAGGTGAGAGGTACGTGAGTAGCGAATGGGGGTAGAGTCAGTGCCATACCCCGCCCTCAAGGGGGTATTCACACACTCTCCCGACTAACTAACCCTCACGCCTACCCCAGGGCCCCACGAAATCCAGATCCCGACCATCCTGGCCACCCTCTGTCCTTGGGAATGCGGGGTCCCTAGGTGATGGAGAAGCACCCATTTTCCCTCAAACCCACCAAGAAAATGGTGGTTCTCAGAGGACTGCAGGGGACAAACGGCTCAGCCCCGTGGCCCTTCAGCGGAGCTCTGAACGGAGGCTCTCACCCGGGCAGCTTTTCAGGAACAAGTCAGCCGTGCAAAGGCAGGCGGGCCGAAACCAGCCTGAGAACTGAGAACAGGGCCCCAGGCTCCAGGTGGGGGGCGGGGGGCCAGGAGCCAGCCCCAGCCTGGCCTCTCCCGCAGACTTTGCTCTGGGGCCTTCCTGGCACACTGGCATGCAGAGGCTGATTGAGGCCTCCCGCGGTCACCCTGCTACCACAGAGCCCCAGGGCGCAGGGCCAGGGCTCCAAGGGGATGGCCACAAACTTGCCCCTGGGTTCTGGGGAAAGGGGACTTAGGGCATGGGACAGATGCTTCCAGGCAGGGGTTTTCAGGGCCCCGCTCGCAGTGCAGCGAGTGGGCTTCCGCCAGCACCCCCAGCCGGCTCTCACGCAGGCTCAGAGAACCCACATCCTCCGGGTGGGCCGCAGCCCTGGCTCCCTGCCTGGGACACCAGGCCCTTCCCCAGGGCAGCTCCCCACCCCTCCCCTCACTAGGCCTGGGACACCAGCCCCCTCCCCAGGACACAACTCCCAGCATGGGACTTTCTGATTTACTCCCCCAGAGCTTTAGGATTTACAGAGCTTTCCTGTTGGTAATTAGTCACAGCAATGACAGTGGCTAGCTCTGATCAAATGCTCCTTCTGGACCAGCACTGTGCTAAGCACTTTTAGTGCATTAATTCATTTTAATCCTCAGGGCAGACCAGGTCCCTCATTTTCAGAGATGCAGAAGACAAGGCCCAGAAAGGGTCAATAACTTGGCCAAGGTCACACAGCCAACAAAGGAAGTGCTGGGGTTTGGACCCAGACTTGTCTGATGCGCAGCCGAAGTTTTCACCCATTAAGCTCTACCAGCATTTAACCTGCATGGCCGGAGCTTACCACAGAGGCATGGTAAGAAGGGCCCAGAGGAGCTAGGTGGCTGGCCCCTGTCACAGGGCTGGGGCTGGCTGCCTTTCTGCCCTGACCACCTCTGCTCCATCTCTTCTAGGAGGCACGGCTAGCGGGGGTGGGGTGGGGGGGGGCAGAGGTATTTGCATGGCGGGCTGCCTCACCTGCCCTCCCCCACAACCTCGTCTCTATTTATTCCCCAGCGGTTGCCACAGCAGCCTGGACTTCCCTACCGCAGGCCCCCTGAAATGAGACAGGGATGGAAGCTGGGTGGTTTCCACTGAGGCTGGGTGGTTTCCATGGAAACGCCACATCACCCGCAGCCCAGGATGTAGCTGAAAGACCTAATGGGGGCCACGGCTGCAGGGCTGATTCACTCAGAGCTGATGCCTTGGGATCCTGAGGCCCAAGAGGCCACGTAGGAGCTCAGGGAGGTCACCTTGGCAACCAGATAGTTCCTGGGGCAAGAAAGAACGGGGAGCGGGGCGGTGGGAAGATGCTCACTGCATCCCTGCCTCTGTGACTTCAGTCTGCTCTGCACCGGATTCTCCCTTCTCGAAACAGCACTTCCTTCCCCTAGGGGTAACCACCCTTCAGTACGTCCACGGAGCTGGGGAGCTCTGCCCCTCCCCCCGCTGACAGGGGCAAGTCCCAGACTGCCGCCTGGCGCTTTCCACGCCCTGGGCACAGTGAGTGGTTCAAGAACAGGCTTGTTACCCAGGGGGACCTTCTCTTTCCACTAATCTGGCGGAATGAGGGCCTATGTTGCTGGCGGCCAGCTCGGGCTCCACTGGGGGCAGCCTGCCTCAGAAGGGAGCCGGTGGAGGGGAGCAGGAGCAGGGGAAGGGCAGGGACAGAGTCTGGAAATCTGGATCCAGCGGAGCCTCTGGCAGCTCTAGCCACTTTAAGGTGCGGTACTATCTGTGCAATGGGGAGTCCTGCCCGGGGCCAGCAGCATGGTTAGAGCCCGTGCCAAACGCAAAGGCGGGGCCCCTTGCTTAGCAATGGTTTTGATTTCAACACAGCACCAGAGTGTAAACCGAGCATGGACTCTTTTAAGTGTAGGACCCTGTGTCCCTGCTGAGGTCACCCAGCAAGGAGGCCAGCCCTCTGGTACCACCTTCCCCATTTCCCAGAAGAGAAACCACCTTCTCAAGGCCAAACAGTTAGCAAGCGGCAGAGCCGTGACCATAACCCTCATACGTGCAGCCCCAGAAGCCAGAGATCTCAGCCACAGCCAACCACCAGCCGTCTCCACCCAGTGCCAGATCCCACCATCCTCTGGGGTGACTCCTCGCCGCCACAATGCTGTGCTTTTATTTCACCCTGCAGTGACTTTTCACAGAAAAGTAGAATTAGAGGAGACCTTTGAGTCCACCGCATCATCCAAATGTAACAGTCCTTCCTAGACTTGTCCAGGTTCTGCTTAAATGCTCTCTGTGATGGGGAACTCAGTACCTTACAGAATAGCACATCACAGGGACAGGGAGGCTCTTGATACAAGCAATTCACTTTAAGTTGAGCTCAAATGACTTCTGCCCATTCCTGCGAGTTCTCATGCTCCCCCTCCCTCCCAAGTCCCAGACAGGACCATACGGAACAAATCAAATCACTCTCTCCCGGGACGAACCATTCAGATACTCAAGGCCAGACTGTGTCTCCCTTGACCCCCTCCCCTCCAGCTCCTCTGACCACTCCCTGGGATGGTGTCCAGACCTCTCCATGCTCTTTAACGCATTCAGTTGCCCCTTAGGAACAAGGTGCCCCCCTGCAATGTAATGGACCCACATCTTCCTGTCCTCTCCTAGGGCTCCCACAGGATACATTGCCAAGTGCTTTGCCAGAATGCAGATATAGGGGTGCCTGGGTGGCTTAAGCATCCCACTTCAGCTCAGATCACGATCTCATGTTTCTTGAGTTCGAGCCCCGTGTCGGGCTCTGTGCTGACAGCTCAGAGCCTGGAGCCTGCTTTGCATTCTGTGTCTCCCTCTTTCTGCCCCTCCCCCAGTCACGGTCTGTCTCTGTCTCTCTCAAAAATAAACATAAAAAAATTAAAAAATAAAAAAGAATGCAGACACAGCAGATCTGAGGCATCCTCCTGGGATCCTGATGGGAAAAGAGGGCAACAGCGAGCACAGAGCGGGTAGCATGTTTATGCCTCGTCACTGCCACCTGCGTCCTTCCCGAAAGCCAGGCAGCTACTCAACCTGCCACCCGAACTCCCCAGGCTCCCGTAGCTCCTTGAGGGCGGAGTCTGAGGCAGGCGCTGCTCTCCGCTGCTGCCAGGAACCACACAGGCCCCCAGCGCCCAGCAGGTGCTCAGGCGTCCCCCTCCCACTGTCTCCGTGAATCCCTTCCAGAAGGGCAGCTTGGATGCCTTCTTCCTAGAGACAGGCCACCTCTCTCTGTCCCGGCTCTAGCTGCCCACCCCCAAGGCTGGGAAAAATCCAGGCCAGTGGATCCAAAGTTTCCGGCACAGTGAGCAGGTATCTCACAGAACCGCGTTGTCCTCAAGGAACCTGTCTTGACACCTATACGTTAGGGTGTGTGTGCGCGCTGCCTCCTGGGAGCCTCCCAGGTGGTGGGGGGAGGAGGGCATCATGGTTCTCCTGACCGGCCTCCCTGGGGAGCATACAGCAATGTGGGCCAGCCGCCGTCACCGCCTCCATCCCCCAGCTCCCACCCGACCCACGCGAGCCCTCAGCCCCTAGGCTTTCTGCTCAAGCCCCTGGTGGAAGCCACCAAAGCCCTAGAGGCCTCCCCTGTGCAGGCTGGGGGTGGGGTGGGGGGTGGGTTGGCAGTATGGCCTGTGCCCAATGCCTCCTGGCAAACAGTTTGTTCACTTGCTTCCTCCTGACCCTCTGCCACTCTCCGCTGCCTGGAGAGAACACATCAGAACCCCGGAGTTCAGAGCTGGGAATGGCCCTAGACGGCGGCTGAGACTCAGAGAGGCCGGGTAAGTTGTCCAGGCCTACACAGCAACTGTTGAGAGCCCAGCCTAGAATGCAGGGCTGAAGCCCAGACCTGGGCTGTGTCCACTAAACAGAGGCTGGAGAAATAGTCAGAGGAGGAAACAGCCAGAGGAATCTTCGCCCCCAAATCCCTGGTCTCCACAGTCCTTGCAAATAACACTCATGGTAACGCCAATGGCAATGGAAACAGCGGTTATCAAGCCCTTACTAAGCACTGATGAAGATACTGATGGTGACAGTCACAGTAAACCCTGCAAGGATGCCCTGCAAGTACCTGCTCTGGGCGGGGCCCCACGCTATGTCCCTCCCTTAGGGTGACAATCTTAATCCTCAGCACAAGCGCTTCCAGGGGCAGTGGGGGCAGGAAGGCTCCAGCACTGCGCAGCATTCCACTTTTAGAAAGGGACTGGGGTTTGTGCCACACCCCGCAGTCTCTCCCATTCATAATTCCCCAGGAACTCCTCAAGGGGGTAAACAGAGGCCATAAATAGCCTTGCTTCTGTTTAGGTTTGATTTTACCACCAAATGAGCTGCTAGCAGCATTATGGCTTTTCAAAGTGGTTTTTGGATTTCAGGATTGCGGATAATGGGGAGCGGACCCGCTCAGGTTAGGTTACTTGCAAGGTGACCAAGGAGGCACAGAGAGGTGGGCGAAATCACTTGCGGGGCGGGGCCTCGGAGGAGGGACTCAAGCCCCTGCAGTTAGGATATGGAGTCAAGGGCGTGGCCCCCATTCTATTTTATCAATGAGGCACAGTCTGTGCTCACTTGACTCCTGGGAGTGGGGGCACAGCAGGCGTCCCCTCAGTTTACAGATGCGGAACCTGGGGCCTGAGAGGCCACGTGCCTTGCCCCAGGCTCCCGGCCTCCCCTGTGGCTCCCCTGGGAACAGTGGCTGCTGGGAACTCAGGGTAGGAAGGACCAAAGGCAACCCTGGGAGACCACTTCAGGGGGTGCCCAGTGGCTCAGTCTTTCCCACCTGCCCGGGAGGCCTGGGGAGTGGGGGAAAGGACGGCCCATTGCTTTTAAAAGGCCCCTTCCTTCAGGCTCAGCAAGGCCCAACTCCCCAGCTGGACCTCATCTGCAGGAATAAACACCATCAAGGGCATGTTTAGTCTTCCACTGGGATTTACAATGTGCGGGGAAAGAAAAAATAAATCATTCATTCCAACCCGGGCGATCGCACAGTGCCAGAACTTCCCCAGCAGAGCCAGGAAACACCACTCTGCCTTCTAGGAGAAGAGGGGGGCCAAGCTGAGGAGGGCTGGGACCAGGAGACATGGGGTGTGGAGCCTCAGAGGGTGGGGTGCAGGAAGCAGGAGGCAGAGGCCAGAACAGTGGGGTGGGACGGTCTGCAATGGAGTCAGGAGTCCTGATTCTCCAAACAGGCCTCACACTGGGGCTGTGGGATGCCTGAGACATAAGTCCTGGTCATCTGCCAGGCAGAGATGATACCAGCCCTCAGGGGGGCAGCCTGTGGTAGAGGGAGGCATGGGTCTTGGGGTCAGAGGGGTCGGGATGGAATTCTCCACTCTGATGCATCCGAGCTACGTGGGGCTGTTGGCCAAAAGGCATTTTGTTTGCTTTTCTCAGCCTCAGTTTCTTAAACTGGAAAATGCTGGTAACACTGAAATGTGTACCAAGTCACTACTCAGCTCCTGGCATGGGCTTGCCATCCAATCAATGGGCGCCATCTTTGTTAATGTAAGTTGGGGAAACACAGAGGCTGAGAAGGTGACCAACCGCTCAAAACCCCTATAGAGTTGACAAGCTTCTGAATCATAGGAACCAGCTCACCGGGGCCCAGTTTTTAATTCATCTTGATTATAATGTACCATTGACTGGGTCTCAAAGAAGCCCTGGGTGCTATATAGGGCAGAAAAGAAGACCAGATCTCATGAGTGGGAAAAGGGTTTCCCTTCCTTAAACACTGTCATCCTGTCTGATCACCAAGTAAGCTTCCTTTCATCTACTGAAACCGCTTATTTCCCCTTTTGCCTTGGCTGCCAGGAAGCTCAGCATTCAAGTTAGCCCTCAACTACCATGAGCATCTTGTCCCCTGGCTTCGGGGACACTGCTTTTCCTCTTCTAGTCTTTTTGATTTTAGTGACCCCGTGCCTGTGTTGGAACTCAGCTCTAATTCTCCTGATCAACAGGCTAAGTGTAATTTATGAATAAGTAAGGCAGACTCAGGTAGGGACCACTGCAACACAAATTTCACTAATATGGACCCAGAAAGCGAGCTGCCTGGGTTCAAATCCTGGCTCGGCCGCTTTCTAGCTGTGTGACCTTTGGTCAAGCCACTTAATTTCTGTGCCTCAGCTTCCACATCTGAAGATGAGGGCATCATACCCACGCTCTCCCAGACCAGGCGTGGGGAAAGCACAAGTGACTGTGGTGTGCGTGCGGCAGCAGGTACTGGCTTGTCCTAGGCTCTGTGAAGTGTTACTTGTTCATGTTGGCTTCTTGCTTTCTCACCTTCCTTCTAAGAGCAAGCTGAGGCAACGTGAACTCCCAGTGGTAATGTGCAGGGCTCACTAGCCACCAGCTCTGTGCCCCCCGTCGGTGGACAAGAACTGTAGTGCTGGGGCGCCTGGGTGGCTCAGTTGGTTAAGCATCCTACTTCGGCTCAAGTCATGATCTCACGGTTCGTGGGTTCAAGCCCCGCGTCAGGCTCTGTGCTGACAGCTAGCTCAGAGCCTGGAGGCTGTTTCAGATTCTGTGTCTCCCTCTCTCTCTGACCCTCCCCTGCTCACGCTCTGTCTCTCTCTGTCTCAAAAAACAAATAAACTATTTAAAAAAAATGTAAAAAAAAAGAGAACTGTAGTGCTGGAAGAAGGCAGGGCCCCCAGGGCCAGCTGGATCACAGGCCACAGGCAGTGGCTCTGGGGCGAGCTCTGCACGAGATTCCAGGAGTCCGTGCCCTCGCCAGGCCTGGCCACCGGCTGGCTGGGTGCCCTTGCCCTGCGCCTGGGTGCCTTTGTGACCCGCTCTGGGGAAGGCTGTGGGAGGACTGACTTTACTTTGCCTTTGTCCCTTTCCCTTTCTTCTGGCCACAGTGACACCAATGTTGTGCCTGGTGCTGTGGCAGCCGTCTTATGACCATGAGGCCGGAGGCGGGGGGGGGGGGGGGGGGGGGGGGGGGGGTGATGCAGGGAGTGGAATGATGGGAATGCTGAAATGCTCTCTGGGACTCCAACCCCGGCTTCTGGTTACATCATGGGCAAATGTCTTTAGAGTTTGAGCCTGACTTTCTACTCCTTAAAGCTGAGTGCCTTCCCTGTGACACAAATGTTTTTAGCGACAGTCCCCTCCCTGGGCCTCATCTGTGGACGAGAGACATGGATCAGGATGTGCTGAGGGGCCTGACTAGACACACGGACAACCATGCCAAGCACCATGCGGGGTTTTACTAAGGTGACCTCGCTGCATGCTCGCCTGGGAGTTGAATTTATGACAGTCCCCAGTTTGCGGAAGGTGACCTGGGCACAGAGAGGCCAGCAGCTTGCCCCTCCCCCCCCCCCCCCCCCCCCCCCCCCCCCCCCCCCCCCCCCCCCCCGCACCACAGCTACAACGTGTGGGAGCACAGCTACTGCCTTCAGCCCCTGCGGTGACTCTGCCCAAGACACTGCCTTCCTCCCAGCTCGCCAGATCGCGGGCCCCCCCCCCGAGAGGCTGCCAGCACCTCCCGGGTTTGTGTCTCTCCCCCACCCCAGGGGTGAGTCCCCCGCAGCCCAGCCCAGCCCAGCGCAGGGCGAGGAGCGTGCCTACCTTGCCCATGTTGAAGTAGAAGACGACTCCGGCCGCCACCTGAACGATGAGGATCAGGAGGAGGAAGACAAAGTACTGGGGACACAGAGCAGCACGGAGTCAGCCAGGCACCCCCTCCAGGTCCCTCCCGCACCCCGCACCCGCCTCGGCGGGCCGGCCACACTCACCAGCCCCAGCAGGCAGCGGACCTCCTTGATGGCACCGATGCAGCCCAGGAAGCCCATGAACATGGTGACAGCCCCCACGCCGATGAAGACAGAGGCCCCCACCTTGAGCGAGCTGGAGGAGGTCTCTGCGGATGGAAAGGGGGCGCTCAGTGCAGCCCGGTGGCCTCACCCTCACTACGCACACCTTCACAAGCAAAGCCCAAGGTCTAGGGCCGCTCCCTCCTGGGGATCAGCCCCCTCCCAAGGAGCCTGCTCCCTCCCGGGCTTTGGGAGCTGCCTCCCTTGATGTCCCCGCCCCCTCTCTGTCCTGACCCCCAGCCCCACTTTGATTCTCTCCTCGGCACTTTGGACTGCAAAGACTATGGTTTACTGATGTACCTGCTCCTTGCCTACTGCCTCCACGGAGGGGTGAGCTGGATGGGTCAGGGGCTTTGGTCCCTGCTGAACTCCCAGCCTCCCCCACCAACTCCGAACAGTGTCTAGCGCCGCAAGGAGCTTCCTGAATATCTGCTGAATTAATGAACCGCGCACTGGCAGGTTCCGCCGGGGCCCTATCCCGTACTAATAATCCCCCGCCTCTCCTGCCCGCTCGCGGCCCCTCCAGGGGCTCACACACGCCACCCCCAGCTCTGACGCCGTTCTGTCTGGTAGGCACCAGCACAGCCACTTCACGGAGGCTCAGCGAGGCGCAGGGGCAGGCGCCGGGCTGGGAGGTGGAAAGCCACACATGCCAGTGGCACGCTCTTTCCCCTGATGCAGGGGGCACGCGCGCTGACACTACCAGGCGCCCACCGCGTCCCAGACACCGAGCTGGGCTGCCGGGGCTTCGGAAGTCAGACCGCTCAGGAACACAGATTCCTGGGTCCGTCACAACTTGCTGGACTTCCCCGGGGGGCCACCTGGAATCTGGGATTTTAATGTGCTCTCCTAATGACTCAGCCCGGGCCAGGGCTGACACAGTGACGGTCGGCAGGGAGAGCCCTGGCTGGCTCTGGGGGACCTCGGAGAAGCTGAGATCCTCCCCTCACCACCAAGGGGGTGGCAGTGCCCTTAAGAAATAACTACAAAGCTGGAGTGTGGGTGGATATGAGGGCCTGATTCAGTTCCCCTTCCCGGTCACAGACAGAGTGTTCTGGAGCTCCGGAAAGGCCCTGGACAGCCCACCCCATTCCTGGGGTGCCAGTGCAGGGCCGCCTCCACCCAGGTCCTCACAGGAGCCCCCAGGCAGGCGGGCAGTGCCCTTGCTGTGGAGGGTGTAGGGGCTCCTGGCACTGAACCCGTTTTCCTTCTAGGCTCTCGGCAATCGGCACAGGCAAGGGGAGGCCGTCCAGTGTCACTGTGTCTAAGCTTCCTGGGTTTGGGCTCCTCCTAGGGACTCCTCCCAGAAAAAAGAAACTGGCACTGCCCAGAATGCCCTGTGTGCCAGCCAGAACAAGGCCCTTTATCCGAATCATCTGCTTAATTTCCACAACGGCCCGGACAAGGGTAGATTTACATCCTGATTTGTCCCTGGGAGCCCTGAAGCCCAGCGAGGCTAAGAGGCCACCCAGGCGCCCAGGGCTGAACCCCAACTCGGGTTCTCCCCCAGGAGATGTGCAGTGGCTGGGTGCCAGCCCAGATGTGCGGTGTCAGTTTCTCGGAACAGTCCGTGGACACCAGTCCCTGACCTCACCCAGGGTCTCAGCAACCCGACTTAGTAAGGGGACAAGTGGACATTCTGGGGTGGCCTCCACGGTGCACAGCAGAAACTTCTGGGTCTCACCAGGCCTGGCAGGTGCCAGTGAGACAGGAAGGGGCCCGGACCGAAAGGGACTGGGGTTCACATCCCAGCTCTGGGCAAGCCATCTTCCAGCCTCTGTTTCTTGCTCTGTAGAATGGGAACGAAATCCTATTGCTTAAAGACGTTATTATGAACTTAATCGCTTGTGCAGGGTTTACTGTTCACTAGGAGCTATTGTAAATGCTTTTTGTGTAGCCACTCATTTCATTTCTCACAATAACCTTGAAAAGTATTCTATTATCCCCAGTTTCCAGATAAGAGGCACAGAGAGGTGAGGTAACTTGCCCAGGGACCCCCAGCTTGCAAGAAGGCAGCAGGGACAGGATTCAAACCGTGGCAGCCCGGCTCCCAAGTCTGTGCTCGTAACCACTGCGCTCGCTTCCTCTTGTTAAGGCGTGAAGTGTGGGACCCTGTAGGACAGGGGCTCGGGGCCAGGAGCTCAGGACCGGTGCGCCTGGCTTACATCCCAATTCTACCTCCTAGCTGTGTCGTCGGACAGGTGACTGCCCCCCTCCTGTGCCTCAGTTTCCTCCACTGCAAAATGCAACGCCTTGCCCCATGGACTCCGGGGTGGGTAGGGGAAGGGCCACGTTGACGCAGGCCTGGGACACAGGTCAGGAGCCCCGGCTCCCAGCTCGGACCCTCATGTCGCATGTGACTCTCAGAAAAGGCTTTTTCCTCGAGTGGGTCAGTGTTTCTGAACCCTGGCCGGGGTTTCACCTGGGGAGGTTTTTAAAACCCTTAGTGCCCCAGGCCCCTAGCCACACATCAGTGGAGTCAGCTCCCTTGGGGTGGACCTGGAGCACTTGTATTTGTGAAAACGTTCTGGGTGTGCCTAGGGGACTTCTAAATTCTGGCAGCTCCAGCTGAGAACTGATCCGGGAGGAGGCGGGAGGAGCGGCAGGAGGTGCCTGGGGCCTGGGCAAGGGGCAGAGGGCAGGGGTGCAGTGGGTGAGCTGGACCTTCAGACTCTGCCCCATGGCCTAGTGCCTGCTGGGTGTAGGCTATGGCCAGGAAGTGGGGAGCCCGGGCCTCATCAGGGCCCATGTAGGGCAGGCATGGGGAGCATGGGCACCCCGGTAAGCTGGGAAATGCAGACCCCAGCCCCAGAATGGGAGTACAGTCTGTGGCACCCCCCAGAAGGAGGCCGGACTAGCGGCCCCAGGCCACATCAGCTGGGATCACCCTTGCTTCCTTCCAGGGCTGAGGGGAGGCCCAGCCCCCTGGGGCCACAGTGACAGGTGTGGCCTCTCCATCACCCATCCTAGCCTGGTTCCGCTTTATTCAAATCAAGCAGCTGTCTCAGGCCTGAGGCCAAACCTGCAGCCTCAGGCAGCAGCTGGGAGGGAAGTGAGCCAAGGGCGCACTCACTGAAGGGAGTGGCATCACTATGCTGCTCCGGGCACCCATGAGATTGGTGTGGCAAGCCTGGTGGGCTTCCTGGAGGAGGTCTGCAAGGGCTCTCATCAGCTGTGCGAGAGTGGCCTGGGCTTCTCTCCTCTTGCTTCGAGAATGAGAGAAGGGGCTTCTATGCTGTGGTTCCCCTTACCATGGGTGGCACTCAGGACCTAAGCTCTCGGGGTTTGAGTCCCATACCTGTCACTCGGAGCTATGTGAGTTTGAGCTGGGGACTTCCCTCCTCTGAGCCTCCTGTCTTCATTTGTGAGGAAGGAACAGAAGAGTCCCCACCTCCCAGGGCTGTTGTGGGACTGAGGCAATTTTGATGTGTAAAACAGTTGGTCCTGTGCCTGGCACTTGAGGAGCATGAACAGTGCCTGCTGCACCCCGTGGCTTCCCCCTCGGCCCACGGGCCCCATGAGTGGCACCAGGCACACTGGAGGCTCGTCATCGACCCTGACACCCAGTCTTTCCCAGCCTTTCCCACATCTCCCTGAACTGACTGGGGAGGGACGGTGTGGCCCGCATTTTGCTGAGCCCGGGAATGGAGGGGCGGAGACTGTAAGAGGCTTTCTCTAGGTCAGGGCTGAGGGAAGGGCGGGGATGGGAGAGCAAGCCTCCTCCACCCCCCACCCCTACAGTGTTCTGCAGACAACGGCTGCTTTGTCTGGGGAGGGAGAGAAAATTCCTCCTGAAAACCCCTGCAGAGGGGGCCCTGGGCGGAGTGGTCGGCACAGGACCCGGGCTGGGCCCTGAGGGTAGCTGGAAGAGGGACCGGCTTTGAGGCTCAAGTCCTGCTGCCCCAGGCCCGCCAGTCTGGGGGCGGCCGGGTAGGGGGGTCAGAGGGGTCCTTACGCAGCACAGAGATGAAACTGCTCCTGTCGGCCAGGATCCACACCCCGAAACCCAGGATCACGGCGCCCAGGATCTGGAAAGAGAGGGCGCAGTCAGTGGGGGTCTCAGAAGGCTCCATGGGCAGCCCCTGCGGCCAGGCCAGGATACCCGGGGGCTGCCACCCCATCTTCGCCCCAGCCCAGGGATGCCAGGGGGGCCTCAGGCCCTGTACCCCAAGTCCTGGCACACCCCAGCCATCCAGACAGCAGGGGCTGCCTCCCATCCCCCCCACCCCATGCCCACGGGTGGTCAAACCAAGTCCATCAGCTTTGAGGGGTGCAGCCTCCCCCAGGGGTGCCCTCCTGCTTTGCCCCCTGGCTCTTCCCCACCACCACGCTCTCCACTCCAGCCCTCCTCAGGGGCGGGGACCATCCCGCACAAGCTCTGGGGAAAACCCTGTGTGGACGGGAATGCCAAAGCTCTCTTGCCCCTCAGAGCTCGGCTTCCCCAGGAGCCCTCCTGACCTTCTCCCCCCGACCCCCCCACAGGCAGACCAAGGGGCCCTGACTCTGTGGCAACTACTCCTTGACCTTTCTTAGGAGCCATGCCCCCTGGCTTTCCTTTCTTTTCTTTTTTCAATGCTTTTTAATTTATTTTGAGAGACAGAAGGTGTATCTACACATGGGAGTGGGAGAGGGACGGGGGGGGGGTGAGGGGGGGGAGAGAGAGAGAGAGAGAGAGAGAGAGAGAATCTCAAGCAGGCGCTCCACTGTCAGCACAGACCCGAGCCTGGATCCCACGAACCATGAGCCTGAGATCATGACCTGAAGGAAATCACAAGGAGGAAGCTCAACCCATTGGACTGGGCCACCCAGGCGCCCCCCCCCCCACTCCACTGGCTTTAATGTGTTTAATGTGCTGTGTGCGTCCTCCTCTGGCTAGACTGTGCACTCCTGGAGGGCAGGGCCGGACTGTATGCCCAGCGCTCCTTAGTACCAGGTGCTTCGTGCTTGGAGATGAATGAGATCGTGAACCCACTGTGAAGGCAGGAACAGAAAGGCAAACATGGGGCCAGCGGCTGGCATAGGCCCAGGGATCCCCTGCCTCACGCCAGGGTGGCCCCCAACCCGAGCCTGCCTCCCCAGGTAGGACCCCAGCTGAGGCCCACATGCCCCCAAGCCAGCGAAGGCTGGGGAAGCGCCTAGGTCAGGGTCAAAGCACAGGTTCCCTGGGGGAGCAGAGGACCCTGCATCACCCCTGCAATGCTGGCCTTTCCGCGGGGTCTGGCCTGAGCCGGGGTACTAGCATGTCACTACCCGCCTCCGCTACGGGCCCTGGGTCCCCAGCTCAGCCATCAGGTCCTGAGCTGCGAGGCCAGCAGGTGCCGACTGGGCCCTCCCGGTGGGGTGAGCACCCCAGCCAAAGGGGCTCGGGCAGCCTTGCTGTGTGGTCATTAAAGCCGGAGCCAGGACCACAGTAAGGCACACAGGGTGCTTGCCTCAGGCGCGAAAACTAGGAGGAAACAAACAAAAGCCTCAGTAACCAAAACCAAGAAAAATAAGAATTTACAGCAATTACTTTTAAAAAACCAAAATCAATTTTAAAAATCTATGATGAACAAAATATCAAACTTTTTTTTAGTGTTTTATTTATTTCTAGGAGAGAGAGAGAGAGACAGCGTGAGCAGGGGAGGGTCAGAGAGAGAGGGAGTCACAGACTGAAACAGGCTCCAGGCTCTGAGCTGGCAGTCAGCACAGAGCCCGATGCGGGGCTCCAACCCACGAACCGCGAGATCATGACCTAAGCGAAAGTCGGACGCTCAACCGACTAAGCCACCCAGGCACCCCAAAAATACCAAACTTTTAAATAAAGGCAGGATAGCCATCAGTTTTTTGTTTTTTTTTTTCCTTCTGAAAAGAGTGGAGCCCTGATGGCACAGGGCGGGGCTGTTTCTCATCCCCAAGGGAGTACCTCACCCCAGTCTCGACCCCCTTAGAGAAAATAGCAGCTGATGGCGACCCTACACTTGCCCCCCACTGTCTCCCAGCAGGTCATGAGTCCCCTCCTCCCTCCTTGCCAGATGGGCCCTGCTCTTATCCTCATTTTACAGATGGGGAAACTGAGGCCCCAATTTGCCAGAGGTCTCCCATCCTGCCCATCAACGGCTCACACCCAGGTCTGTTACTCTAGGCCAGCTGGTGGCACCTCAGCGGGGCTACCCGGGGTCTGTCCTGGGTCTTCACCTGGAAAGCTGGTCTCTGGGGACAGTGAGGCTACCAAGACCCCGCTGAGCGGGAGGGTCCCTGTCAGGTGGGGGTGCCTCGGCTACACAGCTTGCTGGGGAGAAGCAAGATTTTACAGAACCCGGGAGTTTGGTTCCCAAAGGCTCCTGAGGCCCTGCCCCCCTGCCCCTCACCATACAGCCAGCCATCAGGCCCTGGGTCTGCTCCTGTGCACCTGACCCACAGGGCACAGCCCAACCTGCTAACTCCCTGCACTCGCAGGGCAGGGCAGAAAATTCCCTCCGGGCGAACATAATCCCAAGTAGATCGAAATCCAGGGCTGCCCAGCTAACCTCCTCGGCTTGCCTCAAAATACCTAAAAAGGAAGTCCCCAGCACTAATCCATTCAGCCGCATGTGGGTCTGATGTCCGAAGACCGACATCTGTGTGGCTGGACCAGCCGCCAGGCTGTGAGTCACAGTCCCAGCCAGGCAGGCAACCAGAATGGGGGAGGCACCAGGGGAACCATGACTGAGACCATGGGGCGCCCCCACATTAACCCCGCCTCCTAGCCCCCAGCCCCACCAGAAACTCCCGTCGGGGCTCAGCCAGGAGCCGGGACCCTTATACCAGCAGCCTCCCCCAGGACAGTACAGAGGCAGCAAGCAGCTCCTGGGTTTGTGTGAGCCTAAGCTGACTGAGCAATTTTCTGGGAAGTTTGGGGCCGGGAGGGAGCGCAGGCAAGGCTGTCCACGTGTACGTGTATGCATCTGCGGACACGCAGCAGCCTGAGCGCCTCTTCCAAGCCACAAGCCTGATCACGTAACCGCTTCCCACCAAGCCTAAAACAGACCAGAACCCTTCCCGGAAGGCCTGCACGGCCCGCACCCCGGAGAGCCCCACTCTGTCTCGCTCCCCATGCTGGACTTAGGCTGAGCCCCAGCTCCTCTCTCCCCACGCACACAAAACTCTGGGGTAGCTGCAGCTGGCCATCCCCACAAGGCCAAGTGCCCTGTGGCACAACTACCATCTCATCACTCATTTGAACAAATGCTTGCCTGGAGCCTCCCTCCCCCGAGAACATAGTGCAGAAATCATGGCTCTTCTGTGGCTGAGTGACTACCCGGCACCATGACAGGGATCAAACATGCCCAGGTGCCCAGGACGCACCTGGTGAACGAGGGAGGAGGGAGTGAGCCGCCGAGCAAACGTGCCCTGTCCCTGTAAGTCTCAGTCCTTTCCCCTCGCCCTCCTCTGACAAAAGCCTCTCTCCTCTCCCTGCCCACGCCTGCTCACGTCCTGATGGGCCCTCCGGACCCCAGCGCGCAGGGAGTTAACACCTGGCCCCAGCCAGCCCCCAAATCTCTGGCCTGAGACGAGTTTTCCAGTCTCTGGCTCCACGGGGCAGACTAGGAGCGGGACGGGAAGGGGCCCCTTGGCCAAAACCATCAAACCTGTTTCCTTTCTCCACAAAGTCTCTCCCCCTTCCCTCCCACCGCGCGGGGGGGGGGGGGGGGGGACAGGCCGTCGGTGCCCCCACACTCCAAGCCCAGGCACTTCCTAGGCTGTAGCCCAGACCCCTCTCTTCAGTGCCCAGAGTCCCCAGGGGTAGAACTGCAGCACCCCCGCCCTCCTGCCCCCCAGCCCTGGCCGGCTGGCCCCTGAAGGCTCGGCTCAGGCTGCACGGCTGCTGTTTTCCAGAAGCTTGGCCCAGCCAGGAGGGGCCCGACCACCGGGCTGGGGAAGCCCAGGTGCCCCGGCCCTGCCTGCAGGGGCTTCTGGACCCACTGTCATGGGGGGGGGCGGGGGGAGCGGGGCCACAGCAGGCTCTTCGCACTGTCCGTGAGGCAGGAGGGGGCTGGGGCTACAGCCAGGGTGGACCGGCAGCCCGCAGGCAGCCCCCAGCCGTCTGTGTGCGTGTGTGCATCCACATAAGGGCGTGCGTCTGTTTGCACATGCCAGGAACACACTCGCAAGTCTGTGTGTTGGGTTACAGTTATGAGCAGGGATTTTGAATGACTCTTTATTTTCCAAAGCGTCTACAATCCTGTGTGATTTGACACAAAACGTCCTTTCCCCACAAATAACGCCCGTCTATCATAGGAACATTTGGAAACTGCAGAAACACACAGAATAAAATCCAAGTTCCCAGGAAGCCCAGCATGAACACCCAGACGCATTTTCTTCCCCTCTCGGAAATATTCATATACGTGCACGGCTTTTAAAAATAAAATTGGATCCTAATAAACATCCTCTTTTTCGGCCCAGTTAACAGTATAGGGTGAACCAGAAACACAGAGGGGACACCGCCCCCAGCACCACCCGGGGCCCGGGAGGGCCTCTCAGGCCCCCGCCCCACCCTGCCCCATCACACACACACTCACACACACACGTGTACATGCACATGTGCACATACACACATCACTCTTCCCTTGCCTATCACACGCATTCATTCATGCACACACACGTATGCACACTCACACATGCACAAGCACACACACACACATCACAGTATCCCCCGCCCCATCACACACACACGAGCACTCACACCCATTGCTCACACACACGTCCATCCTCACACACACTCACACACACCCACACTCATACACACACACACACACACACACCATCATCCCGGCAACCCCAGGGTGGCCCCGTTGCATGGGGACCTGGTGAGGCCTGCTGGGGGGTGGTGGGTCTGGGGAAGGGGGACTGTGTCCCCACTCTGGCCCCAAGCCTGATCTCTCCTGCACCCCCTCTGGGAGCTTGGGTATGTCCCCCACAATGGGGGGGAGGGGGAAGGGGGACAGGTGACATCTCCACTGTAACACCAGTTCTTCAGAGGGGGCAGAGGAAGGCGGGGGCCAGGACAGGACGAGAAAGCTTTCAGAGAACTCCCTGCTGATGAGTTAGGGGACACCCAGAGGGCTCTTCCCCACCCCCACCCACCTCCCATCCTGACTGGCCAGGACCTCAGTGCTGCAGGACAGGGGACCGCTGGGAGAGGCACCCAGTGCTCTGCACAGAACCAGCTGGGGTGCAGGCAATCTCCTGGCGGGCCCCGCCCAGTTGCATTTGCAGTGGTCTGTCCTCGGCCCCCACCGACCGCGTCGCACTGCCATCCCTGGCCTGGGGTCTCAGGAGGGCCCCCAGGCTGGCCTGCCCCCAGGAGGAGAGTCTGGTGCGGGTCATACTTACAAAGAAGAGCAAGTTGAAGAGGAAGAGAAAGTACTTGGTGACTTTGACACAGGCTGACCCCATCCTGCCAGTCCTGGAGCTCCCTGGGGAGAAGAGAGAAGGCATGTCGGTCAGGGCCAGGCATGGCCAGGAGGAAGGGAACAAATCTGACCGGCCTCGGTGACACGCCGGCCCCCAGATCAACCAGGCCCATCCTCACGGCAATCCTAGAGGGAGGCCCTAACACGAGGTCCTGTTTTATGGCACCCCGAGGCCCAGAGAGGTTAGAGGACTGGCCCAAAGCCACACAGCTAGGAAGTGCAGGCCCGCGGGCCATGTTTGATGTCTGACAATTAGAGTCTGGCCACTCTACTGGGCTGAAATCACGTAGGACCGTCTCAGGCTTCGGAAAGGCCCAGATGGACGCTGGTCAAGGGAGGAGCAGGGATGTCCACAGGTGGCTGGTGGAGCCTCAGAGCTGAGACCGTGGCTCACGGCACAGATCTGCAGCCCCGTCTGGGGCCCAAGGGCTGCTGGGGCTGAAGGAGAGTTCTGGCTTCTCAGAAAATGGACTGAGCGCGCCCTCCACCTTTTCCTCACAGAGAGAGCAAATACGCATTGTAGAGTATCCGGCGAATGCAGAATAACACAGATGGAACAAAAACTTTTCTCTTACCCCAGAGATAAAACCTGTCCTCATTTTAGGAGCTATACTCTCAGCATGTGTGTTTAACAGATGGTTTTAAACAAAACAGGGCTCATACGGTATAGAGTGGTTTGTAACCTGCCTTTTTCATCTCACAATCTACTATCTCTGCATGCTGATAAAATGTTCTACGATACAACTTTACATGTTGTATAGGATTCCATACTGTTGGACGTTTAACATTTTGGAGGGTGGGATTTCTCCAGAAAAGTCAAACGCAGGCAGCATTTTGCAAATAATTTCTGGAGGTTTACAGGCCCCACCAAGCTCATTCAGGAACCCCCGAGGCTCCGAGAGTTAAAGTCCCAGATACAGATACATCACAGAGCATTTAATCCATACGCTATGAGCAGACACACAGCTGTTTCACTGTTTTCCTGGGCAATACACTCGTGCTTCTGAAACACGAGCCACGCCTGGGCACGCTGGCCACGTCTGCCCGCACTGATGGAACCCAGGCCAGAGAAGGACTCAGGGAGGGAGAGGGAAGCTGGGAGCTGGCTGCCCTCACCCCCTCCCTGAAGCCATACAATCCAGGAGTAACAACAGTCCAGCTATTGGGCTCTGTGGGGCGGCAGGAGCCAGTGCCGGGCAGCTGGGGCCAGGACAGCTGGGCTGGGGGGCGGGGAAGCAGGCACTGGGCCCAGGCCTGTTCCCATGGCCCTGTGGACAGAGGTGGGGGCACAGGCCACAGTGCGGAGGGGAAGAGGGCCGAGGGGGGCTTCACCCATTCCTCCTCTTCTAAGGGTAAAAGGCAGCTCTAAGCCTTGTGAATGTCCCCTGTCCATATGGAGGCCCCCTCTGTCTTTTCTGGATATAATCATCTATCATCCTTCCCAGTACGAGCTCCGCTTTGCCTTTCTGCACCTCTAGTAATGGGGTGGAGGGCTTAGAGGGGAAGACCTACCACCTCCCAAGGGACCCAGTTCAGTTTTCTCACATCTCAATGAGAGAACATTTTCTTTGGCTGTCTTTCCGCGGGCCGGATTCGGGCACAACCTGAAGCGAAGCCGTCCAGAGAGGGAAAAGGCTATCTGGGTGGTAATGAGCGCCCTGTTACAAGTGGCATGGAAGCCAAGTCTGCATAAGGACTTGTGGGGATTCAAGCGCGACATGGGGAGACGAGACTGAATGGCCCTTCCAGGCCACCAGGGCCCAAGGCCCGGGTCTGAGACAACAGGGAGCTCGCAGCCAGAGAAATCCCGGCCTCGGCACCTCCACCAGGGGCCTATCCCAGATCCGGAGCAGGGAGAACAGGGGCTCCCCTGTGTCAGGAGGTCTAGAGATCTGAGATCCTGCACCCAGGCCTGGCCTGAGGAAGACCTGCAGGGGACAGTTCACACGAAGGGGCGTTACTGCTCTCTTCTGCCCCCTCCAAATCCACGCTTGGCCGCCCACAGGCTCTTCATGAACTTGGACAGAATGAGAAACAGCAGTGGAGGGAAGCATCTCTCGTGCAAGGGGTGTGTTTTGCATTCCTACCTGGACCTGCTTGCCTGGCTGGGTCTCCCTCAGTCAGTGACACAGGACGCCCCGAGGGGCTGACCCAGGAGAGCCCCACTCGGTTTACAGACAGACCACCACTCCACGGGAAGACTCTCACCGCGCTCTGGCAGTGGCCAAGGGCGCGAGCAGCATGCGCTGGGTTCTTGTGCAATTGGAGAAGTACGGAAACGGTCTTTGGCAACCGCTGTCTGTCTGCTTCCAGGCAGCACGGGAAGGGAGTTTCTACACACATTCCACTTCCACGCCCTCTGCTCGGGCTGGGGCGCCCGGGCAGCCGCACTGGGCTGTGGGGGCTCAGGAGAGGGCAGCCGGTGGACAAGAGTGAATTCTGGGCCCGCTGCTGAGAAAGAGCAGCCGCCAGCGAGTGGCATCGACTCCAGGCCGCCACCTGCGATTCGTGTGCCCAGAAAGGGAGGGAGGCGTCCCCATCCCTGGGGGCCGCAGCTCAGAGAGGTGAAGTAACTCGTCCAAGCCACACAGCTCCCAAGCAGGGGTGGGTTCCAGACCCCAAGATCTTTCCCCTGTGAAGCACGTGCTGTCAGAGAGTGGCCTCGAGGATATAAAGGGATCTCTGGGGATGGCCGGGACTCCCGAGTGGGCAAGAAGGAGAAGGAGCCGCTAAACTGGCCTTCGCTGCTGCCCCCGACCGAGCAACCTCGCCGGTCTCGGGCAATTGCACAAGACACTGGGCAAAGCCCTTCATGTCCTAGAAGCAAACGAAGGCACAGAAGGGTGAAGGAGCTGCCCCAAATCACTGGTATGTGGACCAGCAAGGACAGAACTCCGGCCACCTCACCCCTTAGGCCTCCCCATCCTCTCCAGGAGGCAGCTGGGGGCGGGAGAGGGAGCCAAGCAGCCCCATGACTGGCAGGCAGTTTGCCAATCCCGGCAGGCCCAGAGGCCACCTGGGAACCGTGTCAGGGAGAAGGTGCCCAGGATCAGTGGCACAGTGGGGTGGCAGCTCCAGGGCACACTGGCCAACACCCAAGGGTGCCACATCTGGGGTCACAGCTCAGGCTGAGAATGTGCCCAGGTCGCCCTGTGATGGGTGTGGCATCAACATCAGGGAGCTCCCAGAGTCGGTTTACTATCTGGCCCTTTATGGCAGAAGTTTGCTAGCCAGCACTACAGGAGGTCAAGTGGCCTATACTCAAGTGTCTGCAAGTGGCAGCAAGGGTCAGGACCACCTTCAGCTTCAGCTACTGGGGAAGAGGGAGCTGGTGGCAAGAGCTGAACGGACGGAACTGCAGTCTGGATCCTTGTGCACACTTCCTGTAAACACTGGAGGGCCTGCCCGTGCCTTCCGGAACGCATGCACGGACAGCCGATAACACAAGGGAATGACATGCGTGCACATTTTATTGGAAAATTCCAGAGCGCTCGCTGACGGGTGTCTGAGCACCCGCCAGTTTTATGTTATACTTTATAGCAGGTAGATGGACCATTTCTAAGCAACCACAATTGAAATTGACCGAATATATAATTTTACGCCAAATCAGTTTGTACAGGGAGATGACTACACTATATTCTATGAAGTCCTACTCATCACCCTTAATACTGACTTCAGAAGTCACCTCCAGGAAACCTCATCTGCTCTAGCTGGCCAGTCTCTGCCACCACAGTCACCCAGTCCCTGCCAACACACAGGCTGGTTAGCCACACTCCCTCTCTGCCTCCTTCCAATAGCAGCTCTGAGTGCCAGGACCCAACCCCAAGGCTCCTTCACTTTTCCTCAAGCCCCCTGGGTACAGGAAGTAGGACCGGGGAAGGGCTGGTGTCTTCAAGAGAACCGTGTCCGGGTTGGGTACCTGAGAATTTGCACCCATAGGGTAGGAGGCTTGGTGTGTCCCTCACCTGAGGATGGGGTGGGGGCCCTCCAGCCTGACCTTAGAACATGCGTGTCCCAGAAAGGCCTTGTGGAAACGTGTTACGAGATGTCATGGCCCCTGCGGGCCTGGAGTGAGGAAGAGCACGGTCAGTGCCGGCTCTGGCGGGACACCAGGCACCAGACTGAGCGCGGGGTGGCCCTCCCTGGGGCTGCCTCCTCACCTGTCTGACGCCGGGCTGGGACCAGAGCAGCGTTTTCTGGAGTGGCTCCTCAGAGTGAGTCCTAGGAGACGCGCTGTTAGGAACAGAAGGTTTGCTGTCACCAAGTCTGTAAAGTGCCACTTCTCCCCGAGAGCCACTGCACATGAGGCTATTAACATCCCTGAGATTGCTGGCAGCAAACGCTGCTGAACTGAAACCATTTTTCACTTAATGGCCCTCAAGGCCACACGGGGACATCTCTTGATCAGGGCCCGTGCTAAGGATTCTAAGTGCTGGGGGGCTCGGGGGCCCGGGTGGGGACGGCGTGGGCGGGGGGGGGGGGGGGGCTCCACCCAGCAGCTTCCCAGACCAAAGGCCTGAAAGCCACACCCACCTACACTTGCTCTCCCTCCTCCCTATGCATCCCACAGCCCGAAGGTGTCTCCTGTAGTCCCACACCTCACCCGGCCCAAATCCCACCCCCGCCTGGACCGGTGCGGCCCACTGCTGGTCACAGCCTCTGCCTGTCCTCCCCAGTCCCTCTCCAGCACCGCAGGAAGGGGTTTGAAAACTGTAAACCAGACCTTGTCACTCCCCTGCCTGCAGCCCCGTAACCGTGATGTAGCCAACATGTTCCCTATAAGATCCTGCCTCTTAGGGAGCAGAGGGGGCCCCCGCCTGGTTTGCCCTGCCCCCTTCCCTGTCCCCAGCACCGCACGCCTTCCCCCTCCTCTTCACTCATTCCTAAGGCCACTCTCTTCTGTGTATACCAGGCCCTGGTCCGCTCCAGAGCCTCTGTGCTGGCTGGCGGTTCCCTCAAAGCCCCCTGCTGGCTCCTCTACTTCCTCCTCCCAGAGGCCTTCCCTGAACACCTCACCTCCAGCTGAACCTCAGAATCAAAACATGCCAACATCCAGCCCCCTGTCCCTGCCCCGACCGAGCGGTCCGGGGCTCAGGTGGCGGTGAGGGGTGTCCCCTGCTGACCGTAAGGAACAGCACCCGGGACACTGGGACCTGTCACGTGGCCCGCACGTCGCGGTTGGCCGATTGGTTCACTCTGGAGCCCCCAGAGGAACGTGGCTGCTTCAGGGAGGGCTGTGTCTGTCTCATTCTCCCCGGACCCCAGGGCCTAGAGCAGCGCCTAGCACGAGCTAAGCGCCGGGAATGTATTAGCAGGGAGAAGGAAGGGAAGGCGTTGTCTGGGGAGCTCAGGAAAGATTTCTCAGAGGAGATGAGACAAACCAGCTTTGATCTTGCACCTGGAGGCTTCTGGTCCTTAAAAACGACGTTGTTGGTTTATGGGAAGGGGAGGCCACTTGCTCCCAGGAAGGGATTTTAATCTCCTCCAGGTCAGAAAAGCTGTGAGCCCTATAACTAGACGCAGATGGGCAGGCTTGTGCTTTCCCCGGGTTTCAGGGGGTCACTCGCCCTGGGAAGCTGAGCTCGTACTTGCCTCATCTCCCAGCTGGCTTAGGGCAGTGGTCTCCAACCTCGGCTGTGCATCAGAATCACTGTGGAAGCTGTACACCTTGCTGGTGCCTGCGCCCCCCTCCCAGAGATCCTGGCGGAATGGGTCTGGGGTACAGCCCAGGCATCAGGTCTTTCAAGTTTTCCGGGGGATTCTAACACGTTGAGACCCACTGCCCTAGGCCAGGCCCCCATCATGGCCTGGTCCCTCTGCTCCCAGTGCGATGCAGGCAGGCCTGGCCTCGGGGACTCTCACATGAAGCTCCCTGTCCCTCTGCTCCATCCTCAACCTCCTAGAGGCTCATGCCACCCCTCCCCCTATCCCCTCTGGGGTCATTTACCCCAGCGGCAGTATCTGTTCTGCAGAAGAGCTTCCAGATCACCGCATTTCCCCAAGGGGATGGAAAGTGCGAGAGCTCAAAAGTCCCACAGCAAGATCAAGGCAGGGCATACCGCAGAGGACTTGGACATCCCCAGGCCACCTGCTGCTGCCTGTCCCAGCTCACCTGGCCTTCCGCCTAGACAGGTATAGGACAGTCCCACGGAGGCCTTGGTTCCCACCCCCCGGGCTGCCTCCTATCAGCCACATCACCTTGGGAAACACCACAGAGCCTCTTCTTTATCAGCAGATGGGCATAGTCAACGTACCCGCCCCATAGTCAGGTTCCCGCAGAGTAGGACTCAATCCATTCTGGGCACCCCGGCCCTTCCTCCTGCCCTCCTGCCTCAATATTGCAAATCTGCACATCTTAGGCTACTGTGTGCTCTCGAGCGATCACTCTGCCAAGGCCTCAGCTTTCCCACTTGTAAAATGGACTGACTAATGGATTATGGCAAGGCTCCCATGGGCTATTATCTGTAAAGTGCCTGGCACCCAGGAAGTGTCACATAAATGCTATCAATTACAACAATGATGATTACTACCCTGAAGTTGTTGATTTCCTAACCAACAGTCCAAAGCCCTCTGGGGGGCTGGATCCAGCCTCCAAATGTATGCCTGGCCTGGAGGCCTCATGCCAGAGGGGCACTGCTGCTGCTCCCAGCAAGAGGGTAGGGGTTAAGCAGGGCAGGGCAGGGCGGGGCCGGCCAAGGAACAGGGCCTCTGCCCTGGGCGTGGGCGGAGCCTCTGTCTCTGAGCCTCTGGTGGTGCCTCGGGGGCCTGCCTGCCTGCCTGAGGCCTGGAGGTCCAGCCAGTTTGGTGAGTTGACAACCTATCTCACCTGATCTCACCTGGTGAGCAGAGAAAGCCTGGCCCTTCTGGAAGCCAGCCTATCCTGCCAGCTCTCCACCTGCAAGCTAGTCCTTAGCCACTCAGCTCTCCAGTTCTCTGGACTTTGTCCTGGTCATCCACAAAGAGAGGCTGGTCACAGGTGGCTGTGTTTGTTTTCACCTGTGGCAGGTGAGGTGCTTCCTGAAACCTTGGGTGGCTCCAGGGGCTGGCTTTTTGACCTCTGCACTATCTTAGTTTTCATTCCCTGATCTCACCTTTTGTTTTTGTTGTTGTTAAAACAGAAAAGAAAAAGTAATAGGCTGTTGCTCTGGGCAACAGGAAGATCACAAGGCCCCAGAATGTGATTAGGCTCAAGTTTCCTTTAAGACCTCAGTCTGAATCCCAGCTCTGCTTCCGACTAGCTGTGTGACCTTGCGCAAGGGAACTACTGAAGCTCTCTGAGCTCCCATCTTGTCCCTAACACGGAGGTACAAATTCCCCCACCTCTGCCATCCTGGGTCTGAAGATACTCACCCAGATCAGACCCACCCTGGAATAACGGGATCTTAGAGCCCCAAGCCCTCCCATTCATCTCACAGATCCAGGACCCAAGGCCCAGTGACAAACAGCTTCTGCCACATATCCCACGAGCCCGGGTGACAGGCTCCGACTCTCCTGAGGACCTTAACACCTGCAGCTGGGACTGATTTCTGCCATTTGGGGGAAGGCCAGGGGTACCCTAGGAACACAGGCAGCAAGCATGCCTGGCCGGGCTGTGGCCCAGGAGTCACAAACCTTATGGTTTGTATCATACCATTCATACTGTCTTTTATTTGATCTCTATAACAAACCCCACAGAGATATTGTCATACCCACTTAATAGATAAGAACCTGAGACTCAGCTGGTCAGTGACTTGCTCAAGGCCACACAGGTAAGTGGCTAAGCTCCCTCCTGTTACCTACTGCCTAAGTGAATGAAGTGGATGGTGGGGCCAGCCCATCCTACCCTTCCACACCGCTGCCTGCCTGCCCCTCATCCCACCGCAGCTCCGGGGCTGACTCTTGGCTTCCTGTCAGGAAGGAAAAGATCAGCCCCACCAATCCTGGCCGGAATGTTCTTTCAGCATCGCTGATGAGGCTGACAGATGTGGCTCTTCCTATGAAGCTCTGCTCTGAAACGCAAGCAATGAGATTGGCAGGCCATTAGCATGAAGAGGAGGCCACTCCGACAGAGGGCACAGCATCAAGAAGGTAGACACCTTGAGCCTTCCAGCCTCCCCACCCGGCACCATGCAGCCAAAGCCTCAAATTGAGGCTGAACCATAGCCTCTGACCTCTTCCTCTCCATGTCTCCCTTTCTGGACTGTCTTTTACTTTCTTAGCAGGCTACTTGGGCCCTACGCAGCCCCTACTCCCTCCCAGCGCTGGGCTCAGGGCTTATATGCTATGAATCACAGAAGGCTGCCTTTGACATCACCTACTTTGTCCCCATTTCCAGAGAGGACCATGAATCCCCACCCTTCTGGGGAATGTGTGTGTTCAGTACGTGTGGTGGGGGCAGGGAGGGGATTGGTTAGAGCCATCAGTCCTTCCCAACCTGCTTCACATAATGATACATGCAGAGAAGATTACATTATTTGTTTGGTGTCTTGAGGTGGACAGACAGAAGTACTCCTGGTCTGAGTTGACCAGCCCAGGGCTCTGTCCCCAAGGGCTAAGAAGATAACCAACCATCAACACATTGGGCACGTTCAGCACATCGGCTGGGAAGCCCAAAGTTGGAGGGAAATTTAGAACTATCTGAGAGGCTATCCAGGAGCCCCAGATGGGCCCTCAGAATTTAGCTGCCTTCTGAGGACCCCTCCCCATCCCCGTGGCAGGGGACTGAATAATGAACCAGGCCATTTCAATTCATTTGAATTGAGAGAGGCCTAAATTCCAATCCCACTTCACAGAGCTTGTGACTCTTGGCAAGTTGACTACCCACCCCGACCCTCCGTGTCCTCGTCTGAAAAAGGGGATATCAAGGCTTGGCCAGGGAAATGGTGGAGTCAGCTTACAAAACGCTCGGATGCAAGCACACGGAGATGGGGGCTGCGGGAAGAGTTAGGCGAAGGGACGCCCCTACTCACACGGCAGGAGGACAGTGTGCATGGAGCCTGTCCCTTGAGACGTAGGACACACGCAGGTTCCTACAAAACGCCCCAGGAAGGTTCCGGTGCCCGCGAACCTGGGACGGACATCAGAGGGAAGCCAGATGAGCGTTCACGCAAGCAGCTCCGAGTGAGCGGTGCTCCCCTAGCTTCAGCCCACCGCCCCCATGCCGCTCCGTGAGGCGGAGAGCGTGGCTTCGGCACCCCTGTGCTATAAGCAGGGTCTCCAGGGCTCAGGAAGGTGGTGGCACTTGCCATTGTCAC